GCACTGTTTTCAATCACTGAAATTGGCAGCCAGTCCACAGCTGCAGGGGCAGGTCACCTGCTCCCCCCTCCCGTCTCCCAGCCCCAGCCACACCACCAACACCAAGGAAGGATGAAAGGAGGGTGTGTCCAGACAGGGTGGTGGGCTCAGGGATTCACACCAGCACTGATGCTCCCATCACCCCACAGTCCTTCTCCAGTGGGTGCCCACCCCAAAGGGGAAGCTGCAATTCCCAGGAGATGCCCCCTGGCACCCCTCCTGTGCCCACAAAGCCCAGAGAACCTGGGTCAGAAAAATAACGCTAGGGAAAAGTCTAAGCCAGTGGCTCTGGCCAGGTTTAGTGCTGTGCCCTGGCTCACTGGGTGGAGTGAAAGACAGGCAACAGGCACCCCAGAGACTGCACACCTCAAGTACTCCTCATCTTTGTGCTTTACACACTCCAAGGGGAATTTCAGATCAGTTCATTACAAAGCAGAAGCTGAAATGGATGTTTCCATCTCATCCCTATAGCTTTAATGTGCTGATTTCAGTTTCTCTTAATTGTTTAGTCAAGAGTGTAAAGTTACTTATATCTTACAGAGCCAGCCAGCACACAACAAGGATATTCCAAAGCCAAAGGCAGTCATTTTTGTAAGGGTAGTTGGAAAAGTATTGAATAGGTGAATTTAAATTCTTAATTTTTACAGAACCAATGGAATTCTTGTAACAAGCAGTTTGGGAAAGCCAGTGTGACAGAGATGTGGAGGGGGAAGTGAGTATTCTACATTTACACTAAAAGCAGAACGACAGAAACCTGCTTTTTGTAGCACAAGTGGTCTTAATTCATATATAAAATTACATCTAGGTGTCTGTTATATTAGCTGGATATACTCCCCTCATTTCTATATTCTGCCTGATACCTGCCTAAACCGAGCTCTCCAGACATTTCTTCCAACTCACTTGATCCTTTGAAGCTGACAGTTATCTATAAATTCAGGCACTGAAGTAATTTATTCTTTTAGAAGTGTTAAGCATTTAAAACTTGCAACATCAGATTGCGCAAATATTCAAATTTTCTGGAAGAAAAAGAAAAGGAAAAAGCATTTACCTTGATGTCTACATTCATGTATATATTCTCCCCCTACACACTCTTATCTAGAGGCTTTTCCTCATGCATGAGATTTCCCATTTCTCTCCTTGTGCTTTCCAGGTACTTTCCACAAATTGTGACATAACAGCTAAATAACACAAGAAAAGAAACTCAAATTACCTGTTACCGTTTTATTCAAATTAGCTTTCTTATTGTTTAATTTATCCTAAGATGGCTTCTGTAGAGACAAAAGTATTCACTGGACATGTCAAAGGAAATTATTAAAATTCATCTAGCAGTGATGAAAGTGTTTTGTGCTGACCTACATTAACACAAGAAGAAACCACAATGTACCAGTTTGGACAGAAGTAATTTCTGGACTTGGCCTCCATTTGGTCTCATCAAAATCAAGCATTACTCCCAGTAAACAAGACAAACACACCCAAAATTAAAAAAAAAAATACCAAAACCCACACAAACACTTCAACGAGTTACTGTGGTTCTGCATGTGTAAAATCGGGGGTTTCACTGCCAAGACTCGTTAGAAAAGAACAACCAGAAAATGTTTGCAAAACAGATTAGTATTATGAAGATCATTAACAGCTATTAATAATAGAATATACATCAACCTAGTGCTTTTTAGATAGTCGGTATTAATTGGCAACCTAATTTGGAACTGTTAAGACAAGAGACCTTGCAGACACCATTTGCCAGGTCTAAGCTAACAGTGGGTGAAAATAGGCCTGATAACAGTTACTTTTTTCTTGTCATTTCCTCTCAAAAATGACACAATGCTGTTTCAGCGATCAAAGTAATTTTTATCTCATAAGCGTACCTCCGAAAATAGATTAGGCCTTATAGAATGATTTTATATTTATAATCTGAGCTATCGGGCAGACCTCATGCGAAACCGGACTTGCAATTCACAAGGACTCTGGGTTGCTTGGAGCAAGATAAAGACACAGGGAAATATGGGAGAAGGAAAAGAAAATACTGGGTGAGAGGTCTGAGACCCATCAACATTGCTGCAAGCTTGCCAAGTCCCATAATTTCATCACTAGGCTTCAGGAATATCAAAAGAGCTATTATTCATTTTTTTTATTCTACCCCGCCACGTAATCAGTAGAACAGATGCCAAAAGCCAGCCATTACAAGGAAGCCACCATGGCTAGCATTAAAACAAGATTATTTCTGCACAGACTGGACCATCTATTGCTGCTTTAAATGGGATCTAAACCCCTTTAATTGCAAGGGCAGCAAGAAATATGACTGACTCCTGCAGAAGAAGAAACAGAAGGGAATGGGTCAGGAAATACCCACGCAAACTAAGTAACCGAGGAAAAGCATTGATAGGAGGCACAGTCAAGACATGAGTGCATGTTTGGGGCAGAATCCAGATGACTGTCTGGAAGGATGAAAATACAAATGTAAATGAGGTGAGAGAATCCAGAAAGGGAACAGAAGGTTAAAAAATGAAGTAAGTGACGTAACACTGACGACATCTTCAGAAGTTAGGGATAGCTGAAAGAATGAGTGACACCTGCAGCCTTGAGAAGGAACATGACCAGAACAGACACCTCTTGCAACACAGGAGGACCAGGAGTGGGACAGTAGCATTTCTCCAGCCCAGGCTGCTGGGGAAAGGATGAACAAAGCCCTCTCAGAGAAAGGGGAGCAAGATACACCCATTCCTAGCTTAGAATTGAATTTTACTGAGAAGATATCATACAAAATGAGGACAGAGTATTTAATTTAGAGGTGAAAGCCAACAGCCAGTGGAAAGTGCTACTTCTTCATCACAGAATCTCACTTTAATGCCAGTCCAGTTGCTGGGATCTACCCTACAATTTGCACGTGGCCGGGGCTGGCAGTAAAGCAGTGGTAAGAGGAGGTGTCATGGCCTCAAGTTGCAAAACTTGCTAGAAACATAGCCTCCTCCGTGGTTGTTTTACGAGACAAGAGGAGAGTGAAATTGTCCTGAGAGAGAGAGTATAACAGTAATCAGGAGCTCTGCTACAAGAGCTGCCCATGCTACAGCACACAGATTTGTCAATATTTACTCCACAGAAGAGAGCAGTACATAAAATTAAACAGTGTAATATATGTACACTATATAGTACATATATAATACATGAGAATAATGTCTTCAGGAAATACTAGCAGCTGAGTAACTAAATTGTTGTCTCACCAAATTGTCCAGTCCCAATTGCTGACGCACACCGAAGTCCCCAGCGTTGCTTTGACACTGGACAAACAGACTTCTCAATGAACTGAATCTGAACAAAGCTGCCTGAACATGAGCACTTCTACCTGTCCCATTCTGGCTATGCTTCTTTTCAACAAGAGCACAGAGTGGCAGTTCCACAGTGGGCACCGCTTGGCCTCCAGCCACAGCAGCACCGCTGGCACCGTGCGACAGGGTGATGCAGAGGGGTGCCAGTGCAAGTTGCCTGAAAACTCTAAGAAGACCTGAAAACAATTTTAATTACCCATTCTTGGAGTATAGGAGGACTGGTTGGAACACGTGCAAGTGAAGCAGCTTGTTTACATAACAAACGAGTTATGCACGCGAGGTGCTCTGTGTAACACTGCAAGCTCTCTCACCTGCAGAGCTGGGTTTTGCCAACATACAAGACCACCTTCGTGTAGAGAGCAAGCCTTTAGATAAAATATTCATAACATGATCCAACAGTAGCATCAAAGAGGGTGGTATGAGTGGACAAAATGTCTAACACTTGCAAAAAACCAAACAAGCCAGGCAGCCACCAAGTGGCTTGAATCTTGCATACACCACACAGTGCTAAGAGTCATCCAAAGTTTTCAGCTCTTGCCTGAGCAGCCACCCTCCAAAGGCTAACTCTACTTGGAAAATAAAACTTATATGAAAAAAGAACAAATAAACCCCTGACAAACCAAGAAAACTGAAGAGCTTCTACAAGAGCTAAAAGTCTGAATCCAAGGAAAAAATAATTTAGTCCTGATCCTCACATAATGGCATCATGCATTTAGCTGTTTCCATGACATTTTCCAACAAAGAGCCAAAAAGAATTTTTGAGGGATTTTTGAGGCCTGTAAAAGGTACAGAACTCAGGAAGAAGGGTGAGACAAAAATCAAACAAACAAGTGATAGAGCTGTATAGTTGCACTGTGAATTGTACATTGAAAGACAGTGACAATCCCTAGGTAATACCACTTTTATGCTTGGCTGTTTTTTGTTTGAATATGGTTCTCCCAACTCCTAAGAGTTTTAGCGACACCTACTCCTCTCTAACAGCGGAAAATTCTAAAGGAGAAACCAAAAAGAAAATGGTATCCACCTAAACACTACCATTTAAAAATGCCATTAGAAGATAAATTTTAAAAAATCAGCAAACTTGCAGCTTCCTTCAGCACATAGTGACAGCAAATATTAATTTCAAACTCAAATCTAGAACATTTCTACTTATATATGCTCTGTACTGATAAAAAAGCAGTCCAAATTTGAAAATACTGCAACAAGAAAAACAAGTTTTGAAGTGTAGAAGTTGAAACAGCTTGAAGATCTTTTGAACTTTTAAATACCTGGGGTGGGGATGTGGGGGGAGGCAACATCTCAAAACTAAAGCAACACTTCTCTACATCCTCTGTTACTTAAAAAGAAAAAAGCTGTAAAATAATAGCATGACTATCTTGCTAACCCCTGTGTCTGCAAGGGCATCCCATTTTGTCTTCTGGCCTTTGTACATCAGTTCACCAGGAGAAAGAACTGGTCAGAAGCTGTATGGAACAGAGATGGTCTCTGCTCAGAAGCTTAGAGGCAGATTTAACTTAAAAATAATTATCACAATTATTTGCAGGGCTCTGCCAGGGGGAAAAAATTATGCTCAACCCAAAAAACCAAATAGTGTGACAGTTTTGTGTAGGAACATGTTTATCTTACCCTCTCTCTTACCTTATGAGACACATCTCTTCGTCCTATTCAAAATCCAGCAATTCATGAAATTCCATCTGCAACAAAAGGAAAAGCCCATTAATACCTCCTGATAACCTTATAACACAAGTCTAATAAGCAGTTAAAAAAAAAAAAAAAGGTTAAACTTCTCTTGCCATTCCAGTATAATCTACACCCCAGGCAAGTCGCCCTCCCATTGCCGGCAATCTGGGAAGCGTGGATAATAAAGGTATTAAAGATGTTGTAACATGTCCTGTAAGAAGCATGCTCTTCCTCCTATGGCAGGGCTAAGAGAGGTGGCCAAAGCACACAGACTGTCCTGCAGAGTCATAAGTAAGTCTGCAGCATCCTCTCATTAAATTAAATGAGCATCAAATTACATAATGTGAACAGTTGTAAAATGAGACCAACAGTAATGGCTAGAAATAATCCCAGTGGTGTTATACATTGTGGAGACAATTTTCCATCAGACTATCAAACCTGGGTAAGCAGCACTTTTTATCTCCAGGCCAAGAAACTGTCAGCATGCAGCCTCTCTTAAGAAACAGTAAAGCATGCAAGAAACGGATGGAACAAAACTCTCATCTCAAGTTTAAATGATGCCTACTCCAGTCAAGTACATTTAATTTTCTAATTCCTTTACAGACCAACCTTTCAAAGCAATAAAGGTATTTTTATAATATAGGTAAATATGACACAGTCTTGGAATCAGAGGAAAGAATACCACACACCTGACCAACAAATCTGCAACCTTAAAATTGTTAATAAAATTTACAGTCTGGATAGACTCAGGCTTGAACAAACACTTTGCCACGGCACTGTTAAGAAGAGACGACATGACCTGCAATCCAGCCAGCCCATGAGTCACTAGGGCAGAAGAGAGACCTCCATCTGGCAACCTGAAAATCTCTAAGAGTCTGCCTAGAGTGAGAAGTGTGAATCAAGAACCTAAAAAAACAACCAAACCAATCCCTTCACACTCTTTTAGCCCCTTCAGTGTCCTGCCCACAAAGCCCAGAAGCCTGTTAGTCCCGTGCCAGAGTGGAAAATGTCAGAAATGTGCAATGGTGAAAGGGCACACAAGAGAATACTACTAAAAAACCTAATAAAAAATGCTTGATTTTTCAATCCAGTTACCTGGGGGAGATACAGCAGAAATTAAAGATTTGAAGCAAACAGTTTTCATGTTTGCCTACCTCTCCTGTAGTGGTGCTATTAAAGGTATGCCTGTGCCTAAAGTAAAAAAACAGGTACACCCCCTCACTTGGTTTTCTTTCAACACCAAGCAGCTGCAGCCAGGATGACAACAGACCCCAGCAGGCACCCACAGGTGCTCAGTGCCAGGCAGAGGTGACATCATTCACCATGCTGCACTGCCATTCCCCCACCAGCAAAATGGGATGGTGGCATGTGGGTCCCCAGCCAGGGTCCAAACTGCCAGCTCTGGGGTGCCTCCTTTTTCCCCCTAAGTGTACACTAGTACACACTAAGTGCTAAAAAATAAACCTTTCATCCTGTAAATACCATTTTCTCAGATTCTACTGATGATCGTTAATTTTTTTTGCATTGTCAGTATGACAACAGTTACACCACTATAGGTTTGTTTTGGGTTTTTTTTTATTTGTTTGGTTAGTTTTTTTGTTTTTTCCTTAGGAAAAAAAGATCTTCTGTCCACATTACAGAAAGATTTGAACAAAAGACAGCCACTGACCAAGAGCCCACTTCAGAATCCCTACCCTCCTAGTCCCCTGCTAACCCAGTAAAATTCCTCAGAGCAGAACCTCTTCCTGGCTATTTTCAGAGCAACTGTAGCAATCATACAAGAACAATGGGGAAGTTTGTTTTACACAAAGAGTAAATGTTTTGCAGCTTCCAATGTAAATATTTTAATTAATGGATTTTTTTTTAACTGTCTACTGCCTTGTGTTCACATTCACACAGAGCCACCAGCACAGAAGCAGCACTCAACTGATGTAATACAGAGAAGAGAATACAACATAGAAAAATGACATACTGACTTCAGAAAAAGCACCTTCGTAACCAAATCGAAATTCAGTGGGCATTTGCTGGGGAAGATCTGTTATAAGAATTCAAGAGAAGCAAGTCTGCTCTTGCTCTGTGTCCAGCCAGGGGCCCATATTAAATCCCACTGAGACTGTGGGCCTATTTTCATAGGCAGGCTGTAGAAAACCACAACCCAATATATTTCTGAAACGACATTATGCCCGATGACCAGGCTACAAGGAAAAAAGTGACGTATCTTTCTGTGTCAAACATCAATATGGTGGCCCTTAACCATCCATCACTGGGCATCCACTTCACAGAAATGCTCAAATCTGCTCTTAATAACCCATAAACCAAGTGTTGCAGACTGTCGGCAGGATGGGACGCAGATTTACTCTCTCTAGGCTAGACTGTTTTGGTATTCCAGGAAGTGGCTGGACTGAGATGCCAAGCCATCCTGCACATGCTCCTCTGATGGTTTCCGGATCCAGGAGCACCCCAGGTACAGGCTGCTCTTTCTCTCTGAACGGTGCCTCTCCCTAAGAAACTATCTTCCTCCTCTGCCCCCAGATACCGCGATAAAGTTTGGATGCAGTATCAGCAGATGGCTGGCATTCAAGATTTTTTTTTTTTAATTTTCTTTTTCAAATGAAGTAGGACACAGATGGTGACGTTCCTGCTTTCCCAAAGCCTGGAACATGAACATAGACCTGTCTAAGCTGGGAAGCTCAAACCCATAGTACGTTTCTGTAGAGCTGCACAAATTGCTGCATGGATCAGTTCAGCCTGAAGCAGTCCCACACGTGGCAGTATTTCCCCTTCCCTGCTTTTATCTGAATGGGAGGTTTTGTTCTTCTTGTACTGACCTCACTACACTCGATACCTGTTAGCAACATCCTTTCAGAAGTTCAAACAAGCTCTGTAGAAATTCCCTGCCACTGTAAGCAATACACAAGTTACCCCAGGTAAAATGCTCACTGTACCGTTCAAAAAATTCCCACATTTGTACACTTACACCACCTCATGCAAGGTGCTGGCTGCCCACCCGTAATCCCCAGATTCTGCAGCTCCCACAACTTCTGTCCATACTGGCAGCTCCATCACCTCCAGGCCAGTGGCGGTGGCACTTGGCTCACCACATCCCACTAGGCAGTGGCTAGCACTGGAAATGATGGCAAGAAGCCTACTGCCTCCTCTCCTGCAGGAACTACTAAGTGAAGAAGGAGCAAGACCTCCCAACTCCATTTCATCAAGAACAAACCTTCCACAGTGCAAAATTAGTAAATGCTGACTATCAACCACTCCCTGTTTGGGACAGGGAGCAGCAGGAGAAAGGATATCTGGCTCTTACTTGAGAGAGACCCCTTAATTTGGCAGCAGCATAAGATGCTGGAAACAATGAGGCCCTTGCTGTTCCTGCACAGGCAGGCTGGTGTCGTGCAGAGGGAAGCAGGAGCAAGCAGATACATAATTCTTCATGGTGTGAACCCACCATGGTACCTGACTCCTAGGTAGGGCAAATGGGTACCAAAGGACAATGGCAGCTGAGAGCTCCCCTTGCAGCAGGGTCATTCAGAAAGACGAGTTTGCAAAACCTTTCCTGGTCCCTCACAATGCCACAAAGTGAAAGTAAAACTCCTCATCTTACATCTGAATGTTACCAACCATTGCTGTGTACTGTTACTGTACACATTTATACAGTATCAACTTCAACTTCTACATTAAAAAAAAAAATTCCTTAAAAAACCCCTCAGAAATAAACAAACCCCTCCCATCATTTCTTTCCCCATATTCCCCATCAGATTTTCTGGCTATACGTGCAACATTAAAACAGAGAGTAAACATCAAAGAAGTTAGTATCTCTGCTTGGAACAGACTTTTCAAAGTGTGTCAAAACACACTTTTCATGGAAGACCCAAGCAAGGAGGCAGACTTTGCATGAAGCCTTCAGTGAGCACAGACTCTGGAAAAGGAGATGTCTGAGCAAGCGAGCAACCTAAGGCTTATGGCAGTCCTTCCATCTTCCTCTCTGACCTCTTCTAGGGAAACACTACATTTGACTTCCTCATGTGCCTGTTTAATCAGCAATGTGAAACTTGCACAACCTTACCGGCGTCTCTGTGGTCTTCCCATCAGGGCAGTCGGCAGAAACACACCCCAAAGGAGCGGAACATTCATAAGTCTCCCATGCCCACGGGATGGAAAAGCGAGCGGGGAGAGAACAGATGAATGTTAATCTCTCCTTGCCGCCAGCAGCAGTCTGTACTCTCCCACGCAGACAAGAGGGAGGCTGTACAATTTGTTGAGGCCAAACTGTCTGGAAAAATGCAGAGAGAGAAAACTGATGGCAAATTCTCTTCTCTATCTCTTCTCCTACTGTAGGGAAAGTGAAAGTCAGTCACAGAGTTGCTGATAGAACGTGAGACCACGGGGTCTTCAAGGGGCTGCTTTTATGCAAACCACAGTGCTGGGCTATGCAGGACTCTGTCAGTTCAACATATTCACTGGCTGAAATATTCTGCTCACACAGGGCATGCACTGAGTTCTTATGGGAAATACTTTCATTGGCAGATTAAGCTTTTTGTCTAACCATAAGAACACAAAAAGGACCTGACACCACTCCATTACAGGTGTTAATTCACAAATGTATGACTCTCCTCCAGCCTACATGACTCCAAAGACCTACTTCCTAACCATGAGTAGGTAGCCAAACAGCACATGAAATACTGAGCTTGGAGCAGTTGCCACCACAGACACTTCTTTAACTGATCTGTGCCTCAAAGGTGCCTGTCAGTGCTGTACATGTGCCAAACGAGAGCATGGGGTAGAAGCTCCAAGCAGGAAACAGAAGCTTGTCTTAGATTAGCACAGCTCACTCAAGTGTAGTGCTATGCTCAGATTTGGTTTTGATTTGCAAACCTTGCTGTCATTGGCTAAGAGGACGTTTCAAGTTTTGTTAAAATAGGCAAAAAACAAAAGCCAAAAAGCTGAAACAAACACACAAATGAAATTACCCTGGCAGCAGTAGGTACCTTTAAACACTATGCAAGAGGCACATTTCTCAAACCCCATTTTACAGCTTGCTTTTCCATCTCCCCCTCCAGCTGAAGGCAACCTCTTGGATGGGCACCTTCCAGGACTCCAGCAAAACATATTCAAAAAAGCAGAGAGAGCAAAATGAGAGTCTCTCTGTTGCAACAGTTTGAGACACCATCCACCTCTCATCTTTATTGAGAATCCTTCCCCATCAACCCCAAATACATACCACAAATTTGTTGTCTGTTGAGGTATCTTAGAAATAAGCCAAGGCCAAGACCAACCTGGCTCCAAGGAAATTTCAGATGGTACTCTGGTGAGTTGGTGGCATGTTTCCAGTTCTCACCACTAATTCCAGAATTAAGAGTTCTGGAGTCACCATATTGCCTGAAGACAGTAGATCCTACCCTCAAAC